CTGTCTGAGCTCCAGCCAGGCTGGGGAGTTGGGCAGGCCCAGCATCAGCAAGGCCTTCAGGTGCTCAGGTCAGGAGTAAAGCCAGACATCAGCCGGACACTACCTGTGGTGCCGGGAGCAGAGTGTCTGTGCTGGCCTGGGTGGATGGACAGGTGGCTGTGGCGTGGGGCTAATGTGTGGGAAGCTCCCTCAACCCTGCAGCTCCTTCCTTGTTCTTAAATCCCCGTGCCCAGTGTGGGTGGCCAGCCAGGCCTCTGCCTCATGCAGACAGGCCAGAGGGAGGGTTGGTCCAGCTCAAGAGGCCAGAACCAGGTTGGTGATGATGGTCTTGTACAAGAAGGCTGTGTTCATGAGTGCCCATTCGCTCTTTCCCAGCTAGCATCCCGACCCTCTACCATCCCCCAGCCAGCATCCTGATCCTCTATCATCCCCTCGTCAGCATTCTGACCCTCTACCATCCCCCAGCCAGCATCCTTTCCCTTGTTCCCTTGTGTGTTGGGGGAAAGCTGGGAGTTGGCCTAGCTCTACCACTCCCCCTAGCCAGCATCCTAACCTGTTCTAACTCTGGGGCCAGCCATTGAGGGGCCTCCATCAGAAATCCTGGAGCCGGAATGGACTCCTTCTAGGAACAGCCCAGACCTTGGATGGCCAGCCTGGGACAACCTGGCCTGGCCTGTCCCCAAGCTCTGGACCTCATCCAGTGAGCAGCTTCTACTGGTGCCCCATCTACCTGTTCTGTTTATAACTCCACCTTGACTCCCAGCCTAGGGTGGCCCCTCATCCTCCAAGCCCCTCATGGTGTTCATCCACTCCTCACCCAGACACTCATGCAGGAGATGCATCTGGGACCTCTCCTCACCACTAGCTTCTTCCATAGCCCACTACCTCTAGGGGAAAAGCAGCCCCGAGCCACCTCCCTCTATCCCCAGGCCCAAAGGCTAGGCCCCTTGGCCCCTGAGCATGGTCAATCTGCCTCCATGCCCAGTGTAGCCCGGAGCAAAGCTCTACAGGTGGAATTTCAGCCACACATCTGGTGTTGGGGGCTCACTTTGGGGTGAGAGTTGAGTGTCTGGGTCTCCTGGGAGCTCTGCCAGTGGCATTAGGGGCCATGATCAGAGCAAGAGCAGCCGTCGTTGCTTTGGTCTGATATCATGATGGGGTGGGGTGGGTGGCTGGCCCTATCTGCCTCACCCAGTGGGGCTGGCCCTCCTGGTCAGCGGGATGTGGGTGGTGGGTGGGGGCAGACCTGTGCTTCCCACATGCACTGGTGGAAGGGGCTCAAATGGCCCAGGTGGATAGTGAGGGGGGCTTTAGATAATACCCAGACTGACTATGTCAGAAGGTTCTGGGGTCCAAAAGTCCAGCTGGGTGGGGAGCATGTGATAGGAGAAGGATGCTCATGGCGAGAGAAGTATTCAAGTCCCATGTGATTTGAGGGGCTAAGGCGTCACTGGGTGATGGATTACCCGAATGTGGTGTCCTGGTGATGCCCATCTCAACTGTCTTCTCTATGCATCTGAGAGCCAGGCACTGCTTGTCAAGAGACCCTTGGTGGCCTAGGCTGCATGCACTGAGCTCTGGATGGAGATAGCTGACTAGAAAACAAGGTCTGACCTCTCTCCAGATGCAGGTGGGCCTTTGGAGTTGGGGAAGCCTCAGAGGCTGAGCTGTTCCCCTTTGCTTAGGAAAGCTGGACACCCAGGTCTGGCACTCATCCTCAGACAATCAATGGGACAGTCATTTCTCATGTGACTCTGGGCAACCCAGGGCCTTGGCTGTCCAGGACCAGAAGGAAAGGTTCCTAATATCCTGCCTCTGTCGCCAGCACACCCCCAGTCCACTGAAGCAGGGCCTGACTCCTAGGCTGTTAGGAGGGGCTCAGCCATGCGCCCTTCACTGGCTAAGTACCAGGTGACTGAGTACGCCTCAGCACACATTTATGCCCTGGAGCTCTGGTGACAGGAGGGGTGAGCTCTACAGAGGCTGGAAAGGTCTCTGAGGTCAGTTTTGGAAGGAAAGGTGGGATGAGTGGAGAGGTCAGGCCTTGGAAGCCTGGCTGAGGCCCTGGGTGTGGCCCGAGGGGTCTGGGAGGGTAAATAGTTGAAGGTATCCAGCCCTCTCTCAGGGCAGTGCTTCTGAAGAGCTGCAGGGTGGGGTGGGGTTTGGGGACCAGGGTCTGGGCGGCAGGACCTGGAGAGGCCGGCATGATTGCAGAGGTCGTACTGGCAGCAGATGGTGATGGAGGCATGCTTTGAGTAGCCATCACACAGTCTCAAAGCAGGTGGGCACACATGACTTGCTGACCTTCATTCTGTATGGGATGAAGTCTGGGGGTGGGGTCCCATTCTGAAGTTTGGGGCTCCCCTCTTCGGTTTTCACCCTCTTCCTCTGGCATCTTCATCTCCCTCAGGGCCAGTCCATGTAGTCATGTAGTAGGAGACCAATGATGGGCAGCGCATGGGATTGAAGCAATTCTCTCCATTGTAGGCGCAGACATGGCAGTCCAGAGCCTGGACCAGAGACAGGCCCATCAGAGCCACTATGAACAGGCCAAGCATGGGAGTCATGGCGGCAGGAGGCAAGGAGGGGTGGAGTGGGGCAGAGTGTGCAGCTTGGCACAGAGGTTCCCATGCGCACTGCCCACCAGACAGTCCTGGTCTTTGGGGGACAGAGCCGGGGACCTCAGCCAATTGTGGCTTGGGTCTGCCAGTGAGTTCGTTCACCTCGCGGACCCTTTACCTCTTCACACCACCACCACCACCCACCCCCCCCACGTCCCCCAGCATCCTCCACTTCTTTTTCAATACTTGGCTCCCACCTGTCTTTTTCCTTACAGAGTTTTTTACAGAACCACCTTCTTCTGTGATCCCACATTCCTTTCTTTAATAATTCACTAGATTCAGAATCCACTTTTCCCTCTGTCTCTATCTGCCATGTCTTGGAGTACTGATAGCAAATTTCTTAAATCTCCACTAGCAAATTTTATCATCTCGGCGAAGGTGTAATCATGACAGTGAAAATGGGTTACAACATTTTAACAAGGAACAGTCAATGCTCACTGGAAAGAACAGATCTCTAACAGGCAGGGAAAGATCAAAGTTCTTCTCTCCATCTGTCTGTAGGACTGCTTTGCTTAAGCAGCTACTACCTGCAGCTTTTGTTACAGGGATCAGAATTTTGACACATTGTATGATTGCTGCTCATCAGTTGTTTCAGTTAACTCATTTCCCCCAAGTTGCCTTGCTGTGAAAATTCTCACACAGAAAAAAGCCATTATCTGTACCATCTACCAATTTCCGTGGTTTAAATACAGCTGCCATAATACATTCCAAGATATTCCAGTGATATTGTTGAAGGAGAAATTAGGGACATATAATAGCACATCATATAAAGGGAAGGGACATAGAGCAGCACACCGAATTAAGTATTTCTACCATACGATAGATACATCAGATGCAGGCAATCTATCTAAACAGCGCAACTGACAATAAAATGTCATAAAATAACTAAGATGTGATAAATGTTGAGTATCCTTTGTTTTAAATTCAAGCTTTCACTCAAGTTTACATAGTTTAATAATAGCTGTCATGCTGGATGAAAAGTTAAAGAGGCAGGTACTCTCAGCTCCAACACAGCATTGCCTGATGCTCCTCAGGGATATTAAAGATATTCTGAACAAATTCTATTTATCAAATAAATATAGCTACTGAATCATCCCTAATCAAATAATCTTCAGGGTTTCTAAGGGCAGAATTCATTTGATACCCTATTTCAGAAATATTCAAAGTACAGGTGACACTGGTTTTTTTTTTAGGCATTTGGGGTACTTTAGGACTAGATTAACATATGCAGGAATACTATGATTTCAGAAAATACGCAGTCTTTTAGGAATGCTAACACTTTCATTTCATTTTCTTTCATTTGTCGTTTCCAAAGTAGGGCTTTTCTGGCGTGGTAGGACAGCCTGGCGCTGCGTAGTGAATTTCAATCATAGGTGTTACCACTTCAGTGCTTAAAAGCCCTGGGGGCTGTTCATCTGGAGAAAAGCAGGGAGCCCACCTAACAATCACACTAGGAGGTCGGTACCCCCACAGTTCCAAATTCCCCTCTGGAAACTGTAAGCTTTTCTTCTTTTCTCTCCAGTTTTCTCATTCTAAATTTTCCGATTCTAATGGGGACACTGTGTCCTGAAAAGCTAAAAAACCATTCGATCTAAATTTCAAATCTGCCGTCGTCAGTTACAGCAGCACTGTAGTTTTTTCAGACACCAACCGTGCTTACGTAGAGTGTACATAGAATGTCACTGCCAAAATCATGACCAGGAGTAGTCGTGGCCGAGTGGTTAAGGCGATGGACTAGAAATCCATTGGGGTCTCCCCGCGCAGGTTCGAATCCTGCCGACTACGGGCTAGTTACGTTTTGATGCACAGCGCTGGCAATTTTTTGTTTTTGAGAGTTACTCCTTTCATTTATGCAGATTACTTAAGTAATTAGTAAATTTCTGAAACACGACAGGAACCCCTAAAGAGCACAGAGAGGGGCGAAGAGGGAACAGAGGAATTGTGGGGCTGTATTTACAACTTCGATCCAGGAGAGGGAGATAGACCGGCTCAGCCAGACACGCTGGGACAAAAAGAAACAGGGCGAGGGAAGCATCCCGAGGTCACAAAGGAACAGAGAGCTCGGATCTGAGGGCCCACGGGAAGTAGTTACGGCCTGGAACTCGTGGAGTCCGCGTCCTTCTCTGCGACAGCGACGTTACGGGGAAGACATTATGGGGAAGACATTGCCG